ACCACAGGGACACAGCCATATCAATGTTTATAGCAGCACAATTCACAATAGCAAAATTGTGGAACCAACACAGATGCCCTTCAGTAGATGAATGAATAGGGAAACTTTGGTATATATATGCAATGGAACATTACTAGCATTAAAAGAGAATAAAATCATGGCATTTTCATGTAAATGGCCATTCATGGCGAATATAGAGCTAAATGAAGCAAGCTAATGCCAAAAAAAACAAAGGCCGAATGTTTTCTTTGATATGAGGATGCTGACTCATAATGGCGATGGGGTAGGGAGCTTGGAAGGAATGAAGGAACTTTAAGATAGGGCAAAAGGGAGGGAGGGGGTAAGGGGGTAGGAATAATGGTGGGATGAGTTAGACATCATTACCCTAAGTACATGTATGAAGACACGAATGGTGTGAAAATACTTTGTGCACAATCAGTGAATTGAAAAATTGTGCTCTCTATGTGTAATATGAAATGAATTGCATTCTGCCATCATGTATAACAAATTAGAATAAATAATTCTGTTAAAAGAGAGAGAGAGAGAGAGGTGTTGATTTAAAGATTGAATTTTTGCCTAAACTCTGCTTTTTCGAATTGTCCCTCAGAGTTGAGTTTTGCCATGGTCTGTCTACTGCCCGGTGAACACCCCACAGCACTAGCTCACTTCTTCCAAGGGTCCACATGCCTGTGTGGTGTGGGCTGTTTCATTAGCATGGATTTCAGACAATTCTTCCCTTTCCACAGCTGCTCTTTGTGAATTTCCTGACATCCTTCAACTTCTCCCCTCTCTGTCCCAGGATGTGCTGAAATCTCTGGGCTGGGTTGCTCAACCTAGGAAGGAAGCCCATGTTCCAGAAGACTGTGAAGCCAAGCTGCACTGCTACTAGGGACTTGTCCTCCACTGATCACCAACATCTGTTGCTTTCCRTTTAGTGTGCCAGGTAGCTCCTCAGGGAAAGCTGAATTGTCTCTCTGCTCATGCGAGGACGAGAGCATATGCCTTTATCCTAAGATATTTCTCATTGTTTAAAACTTCTAAATGTCAGGTTTCATGTGGCTTATGTTACATGGTAATTGTGACAAGAATGTGTGCTGCATTTTAATGGATATATGARTACTCATATTTCAAAATCGTAAGCTTGGTTTTAAAAAAAGTCATTTATATCTATAATTTTAAGTTTAAAGATATTCAAAACTATTATTCTCTTAACAATTTGTGGGTGAAACATATGATCTCAAATCACATAGTCCCCAATTATAACATGGTWTATATGCATACATTATTTTTTTAGATTTAATTGAGAACATAGGGTTACTAAGATATTAAAACTAAGGATCTAATTCAAAACCCTCTTCCTGTTGAATCTCAAGAAAAAGTATTTGTGGCAACTTAGGATACTTTTTCCATCCTAGGGCAGCCTGATATTATAGACTGTATTTAAAYTACAACCGGTAACAACAGCCAGGAACAAAATTGTCATTCCATGTTTAGAAGGAGATTGAAARACTCCAAAGAATTAGCCTGATGAACTCAAACAGTAGCAATAGCAAGAATCTCTAACATGCGTGATTTTCCAGAAACTTTCCCCCTAATCAGAGCTTGGGTACAAAAAACATCTTGTGTAGCCTCTTGCGAATCTCCTTAGTCTTGATGGAATAGATAATTGGGTTGAGCATTGGAGGCACAAAGAGATAGACCAAGGACATGAACTTGTGCACATACTCAGGGGCATGCTTCCCAAATCGATGGACCATTGATACACTAACCATGGGCACATAGAAGATGAGCACAGCACAGATATGTGMTACACATGTGTTAAGTGTCTTGAGCCTCTCTTCCTTGGAGGCAATGACCAGCACAGAGYGCAAAATGAGCACATAGGAGAGGAGGATGAGCACTGAATCTACACCAAAGGCAGAGATGACAATGAACAGGCCATACATGCTGTTGATGGTGGTATCTCCACAGGGCAGGCGGATCATGTCAGGGTGCAAACAGTACGAATGGATCAGAACATTGACCTTACAGAAGGGCAGCCTCTTCAGGAGGAAAGGAAGTGGAAAGACCATGCAAAAGCTGCGGATGATAATGGATATTCCCATGCGGGCTACATGGACATCAGTGAGCACTGAAGAATAGCGCAAAGGGTTACAGATGGCCACATAGCGGTCAAAACTCATGGCCAACAGGATCCCAGATTCTGTCCAGGAGAAAAAATGGATGAAGAACATTTGGGCCAGGCAGGCATCAAAAGCAGTCTCTAGGGCATGAAAACACATAGAAGCCAGGACAGTGGGCAGTGTAGAAAAGGACACCCCCAGGTCAGTGACAGACAGAAGACACAGGAAGTAGTACATTGGCTGGTGCAAGCTCTGCTCCTCCTTGATGATGAAGAGAATCAGGGTGTTGCCTAGGATGGAGACAGCATAAAGCAGCAGGAGGAGGGCAGCCAGCCAGTGCTCCAGGCTTTCCAACTCTGGGAAGCCCATGAGTGTGAAGCTGGTGGTACTTGAGAGGTTAGTCCCCAAACTTCTCATTGTAGTTTCTGAATGCCTTTGAGGGAAATACAAACATGGTGAATTGAGGACACATGGTGGAAAAAGTAACAATTAGAATCAGCTAGTGTCTTGGGAAAATGAGGGACAGTGACATGTAGCTTCCAATACCATAGACCATGAGGATGCCATAAAGAAGGAGATTACATTTCAGACCCTCCACTGTCTGCAGGATCCCTATATCTGTCATGGGCTCCAGCTTGTTCTCCAAAGAAATCCTTAGTCTCCTTTTTCTATATTCTCCTCTTTTCTCCCTGCATTTGTCAGAGRATCTAATGTTTCCCCACTTATGAAGAATGACTTTTTCTTTGTACTTATTCCTAGCTATCAGCTTCTTCAGTAAATGAGGCACAATGCCTCAATAATCTGCAGCTAATGATTCGTGCTCTTTCTTCCGTCTTCTCAGCTGCTTCTCCTCTCCTGCCAGCACACCACAGGACCTCATCTTCTCTTCACTGCTTGCATCTCTTATTCATCCACCAAGTATCCATCACCCCACACTCCTCCACTRCTGATTGCTCTTGGTGTTTTCTGCCCTATATGTTCCCAAGTTTGTTCTCACTTTAAGTCAGATTCTCAAACTGCAATGTGTGCTAGATGCACTTGAGGAACTTTCAAAAACCCCTTTCCTCAGACCACACCTATACCAATTAAATGTGAAACTCTGTAGAGAGAACTGAGGAATCAGGKTTCGGTTGTTATTGCTGCTCTCATTCATTATTTATCTCTCAAGCTATTCCAATAGGTAGGCTAAGTTGAGAGTCTGGATAGATCACTCCATTCAACATTCAGATATACCCCTATTCTCTACCAACTTCTTCCTTACTGAAGATCAATTTCAAGAGCTACAATCATAGGAAACAAAAAGTAATAATGAACTTATTACCCTCTCACATCCTTCTGATAATCACCCATTTTATCTAGGCTCTTTCACAAGTAATATTCTCATTTATTTTCTATTCATAGTGTCCACATTATTATTCCTCTGTACATTAATGATCCTAAATTTATATATTTAATCCAGGCATCTCTTCTAGTTATTCATTCATGCATCAATTCTCAATTGTAAGATTTCACTAGTGTCTCAAACATAAAATAGGACATTTAACTTATTCTTGTCATACTTGATCCTCTTCAATATTTATCATTTCATTAAATTCCTTCCCCATCTAYTTATAGGCTTTATGTAAGAAAACTCATAAGACACCCTTGACCTCCGTCACTTCTCCTATTCAGAGCTCTAGTTAATCTATGATCACTTCTCTAATATATAACTCACTTCTTTAAACCAGGATATTTACACAGCCTTCTTTAATGACTACYTGGTTTCAGGCCAACCTTTCTCTGATCTATTCTACACAAAGCAGGCAAATTATTTGTTTGCAAATAATAAGTTAGGGYTGTTTACAAATAATAAGCTAGTTTGAATCTCCTACCCATGGATTCTCACTGATTCCCAGATTATGGATCTTTCCATTCACCATGCTACAACTCAAATAGATTTCAGTGGTAGAGCACCTGCTTTGCATGTGCAAGGCACTGGGTTCGATCCTCAGCAGCACATAAAAATAAATAAAAATACTGTGTCCATCCACAACTAAAAAAATATTTAAAATAATAATAATAATAATAATAATAATACCATTTGATTCAAATAAATGAATTGTCAAGATCATTGTACTGTCATGTGTAGCTAATAATAATAATAATAATAATAATAAGTTAAATGATTTTACAGTCCTGTTGAAAACCTTCCAATGGTTTCTTTTACCTTTGGAAATAAAAATTCAAATAAGAATCCAAATCTGCACCATGACAGACAGCAGGAGCAACAGATCCAGGAACTTATTAGCTTCCATTTACTCTAATCATTCATTGCTTCTCATGCTTGTAAGGCCCTCTTACATGCACTGACATATATTTTTAATTCATTGCTTTTATCACACTTTAAAATTAGATTKAAACATATTTGGTTGTTTGAATAGTATCTTTCACTCTTAATAAGTTAAAAACTCCCATGATTGTTTGTTTCTTCTCATTTTATCCTCAATGCTTGGGCAAGGATACTGGCATTTAGTACACTGGACTAGGATTCTGAGATAACTAATTCTA